CCCTATTCCATCTGCCTTGCTAAAAACTGCTAGATTATATTCCTAAAGCTAGTCACCAAGATCTATATCCTTATTTGGCCACTTCCTCTCCCTGAGGCTGACTGCTAAGGTCCAGCTATCAAAGTATTGAAGTCAAGCAATCAGAGCCCCCTTTTGGCTGTCCTAATTAACATGCCCAATCAAAACAAACGAACTCATCCTAACATAGGGTTTCCTCTTTTACCTTTATAAAGTGCCATTTGCCTATGGGCCATATCCTTATTTGGCCACTTCCTCTCCCTGAGGCTGACTGCTAAAGTCCAGCTATCAAAGTATTGAAGTCCAGCAATCAGAGCCCCCTTTTGGCTGTCCTAATTAACATGCCCAATCAAAACAAACGAACTCATCCTAACATAGGGTTTCCTCTTTTACCTTTATAAAGTGCCATTTGCCTATGGGCCATGCCTGTCTTCTCTCTTTCCAGAAGCAATTCTTTGTCCCTTTGGGACAAATATCCCTTCCTTTTCTTCCTCTCTTTTCCTCTCTCTTCTTTGGTGTCTTGTCCCTTCACATACGACCTGAGACTCTAGCTAGACCTACCGTCTACAGGCTCTACCCCCTTCCAGTAGCCCCACAGGCTAGGGGTTAAGTCCTCAATGCGTAGTCTTTGGAGATAAGTTTTTGTTTTGTTTTTTAAATCAACTTTATTTTTTATAGCTTTAGCAAAATTAAGTAGAAAGTACAGATAGTTACCATATACCTATATACTTTTACACACACAGCTTCCCTCACTCTCAACATTACACCAAAGTCAGTAACCCTGTAGCTGATGAACCCACATTGACAACACTCTTCCCAGAGTCCGCAGTAACCTTAGTGTGGTATATTGGATGGGTTTGGATAAATGTGTAAAGACAAGTATCCATCATTGTGGTATCATCCACAGTGCTCCTGCCAGTCTCCTTTGTGTTCTGCTTATCCTTCATCTGCTCCAATGCCTAGCAATTCTGATTTACTTTCTTACTGTTCAGTCTTCTCTAGAGTGTCATAAAGTTGGGATCATACAGTGTGCAGCTTTTCATATTGTCTTCTTTCACTTAGAAGTGTGGATTTGTTTCTTCCACATATTTTCCTGGTCTGGCAGCTGACTTCTAATTCCTTCTGAGTAATGTCTAATTGTCTAAATGTACCATGTTTATCCATTCTGCTAGCGATATGAGTGCTTCAATTCAAGGATATGAATTGTTCTATGCAGGTTTTATGTGGACAAAAGTTTTCAAGTTCTTTGGTAAATATCAGAAACAGTTTTTGGATCAGTTTTTGGTTTTGTAAGAAGCACAGAACGAGGGCTATCTATAGCTTAGTGGTATATGTAGTGGATATAACTTAGAGAGCTTGAGTAGCTCATATGAGGTTCTGGGTTAAATTCCCAACACCATACACACACACACACACACACACCACCCACTGGCTTCTAAAGTGGCTATGATATTGTGTATTACAAACAGCAGCTGGAACCCTACCGTTCCATGTCCTCATAGGTGTCTTTTGTTACCGATGCTCAGGATCTGGGTTAGATATCTGTTCTGGTGTGCAGTGATATCACATTGCTTTAATTTGCATTTCCTTGGTGGTCTTTAATGGCGAACATCTTCTCAAGCGGTCATTTGTCAACTTTTTTTCTTTGGGGAGGTGTCCCTGTATTTTACTATTTTCTTTTTGTGTTTGTATTTTGTTTTTTGTTTCTTTGAGACAGGTTTCTCTGTGTAGCCCTGGCTGTCCTGGAACTTGCTCTGTAGACCATGCTGGCCTCAAACTCAGAGATCTGCCTGCTTCTGCCTCGAGTGCTGGGATTAAAGGCATGCACTGTATTTTGCTATTTTCAAAATTGATTCCTTTTAAAAAATATTTTATGTGCATTGGTGTTTTGCCTGCATGTGTGTCTATGTGAGGGTGTCAGATCCCTTAGAACTGGAATTACAGTTGTGAGCTACCATGTGGGTGCTGTGAATTGAACCCAGGTCCTTTGGAAGAGCAGCCATTGCTCCTAGCCACTGAGCCATCTCTCCAGCCTCTAAAACTGATTTTTATTGTTGAGTTGTAGTCAGATTTTTCTTTGAGCCACCAGCTCACAAATAATGACATGTAGACTTATTAATTATGAAAACTTGACCTTAGTTTAGGCTTTTTTTTTTTCCCCCGAGACAGGGTTTCTCTGTGGCTTTGGAGGCTGTCCTGGAACTAGCTCTTGTAGATTAGGCTGGTCTTGAACTCACAGAGATCCGACAGCCTCTGCCTCCCAAGTGCTGGGATTAAAGGTGTGCACTACCATCACCTGGCCTAGGCTTGCTTTTAACCAGCTCTTATAACTGAAATTAACCCATTTCTATTAATCTATGTTCTATACCACCCATACTGTTTCCTCCTAATCTCCTTGGCCCCCCCACCCCATTCCTCCTTTCTCTCTCTGTCCAAAAAAACCCTCCTATACCTCCTGCCTAGCTATTGGCTGTTCAGCTTTTTATTATGCCAATCACAGCAATACAGCTTCACACAGTATACAAATATCCCACAACAATGAGCTTTAAGAGTTCATTGCAGAGTTAGCAGGATGGCTCAGCAGGTATATTACTTACTTTTCTTTTGCTGTGATAAAATACTGTGACCAAAGCCATTAAAAAAAAGTGTTTGATTTTGCTTATGGTTTCAGAGGGACAAGAGTCTATCATGGTGGGGACACATGGCACAGGAATAGGAAGCTGAGAGCTCACGTCTTCAAGGGCAAGCATGAAGCAGAGAGAGCACAGTGGAGCTAGGGTGAGGATACAGCTCTCACAGCCTATCCCCACTGACACACTTCCGCTAGCCAGCCTGCACCCCCTGAACTTCCCCCAAAGAGCACCACCAGCTAGGGACCAGGCGTTCAAGTACCCTGTGGAGGTCATTGTTTATTCAAAGTACAGAAGGTGAAGGTGCTTGCTGCCAAGCTTGACATTGTGAATTCCATCCTTGGGACTCAGATGCTAAGGGAGAAAACCATTTCCTACAGGTTGTCCCGAGTTTCCCATGCTAACTGTCCCATGGGCACCCAGCCCCATATACACAAAATAATTAAAAATGTAATAAAAGAGTTCTTTGTATATTTTAGTTAATAGTTCATTATCTTCTGTATATTTTAGTTAATAGTTCATTATCTTCTGTTAGTTTTTTTCCCAGTCCGTGGCTTTTCTCCTCATTCTTTCTCAGACTAGAAACCCTTAATTTTGGTATCACATCATCCCTTGTTTCTTTCATGGGTTTGCTTTGGTTCTGAGTCTAAAAATTCATTGCCATACTGGAGATCATCTAGGTATCCTTCTAGCTTCTAGAAGTTTTTCTCTTTACATGTAGGTCTCTGATCCACTTTAATTTTTTTGTTTGTTTGTTTTCAAGACAGTGTTTCTCTGTGGCTTTAGAGTCTGTCCCGGAATTCACTCTGTAGACCAGGCTGGCCTCAAACTCAGAGATCCTCCTGCTTCTGCCTCCCAAGAGCTGGGATTAAAGGCGTGCACCACCACTGCCCAGCTTCCCCTTTAATTTTTATGAAGCATGTAAGTCTGTCTAGGTTCATCCTGTGGCATGTGGATGTGTGTTCCAGTATATGTGTTAAAAATAACATTCTCTACTGAATTGCTTCTGTTCTTTAGTTAGAGACCAGCTGATGATGCTCGAGTCAGTTTTGAGCTCTCTTCTCTTTCACTGACCTCTTTATTCTCTATCCAGCTCAGCAGTCTTGGTACCTTTGGCTTTAGAGTCTTAATATCTGGGAGGTCTCTGACTTTACTTTCCTTCTTCCATGTTGTATTGGCTGTTCTGAATCCATTTGCTAATCTTGTTTTCTGCATAGTTTTCAGATGTTTTCTTCAAGAATTTCACTGGGTTGTGTTTCCATATGGATCCCCTTTTATTTATTCTGCTTGAAATGCATAGGACTTTATCATTGCAGGGTAATCCCCAGCCATTCCCTCTTCAGATGTCCATCATTTCTGCCCTTTTCCTCCTGCCCATTTCCTCCTGCTCTATACGGTACTCTGAGTGGATGAGTATCCCACCTTCTCTCTGACAGTCCTGGGTACTCTGCAGTGTGCATTGCTACTGCTTGTGTTGCATTCTGGGTAATTTCTTCTGATAGGTTTCAAACTCATCAATACCTTATTCTGTTACAGTGAATAAAGTCCTTTCATTTTGAATTTTACTTTCGCTTTTTTTTTTTTTACTTCTACAAGTTCTATTTGGCTCTTTTTTTTTTTTAAATCCATGACAGTTAAAGTTTTAATATTTTTAATAGACATTTCAAGCTGATCATTTTTTCCTGTTAATTTAAACACCATATAGTTTTACGATTTGTAGCTGATAATTTCTGACATATTTTGGCAGTTGTTTATACTCATTCTTGCTGAATTTATTCCACTAAAATGTACTCAGGTTGGCTATAAAGATTTATTTTACAAGGGTGTGCCTTATCAGAAAGTAACACTGCCTCCTTTTCTACTTGGCATGAGACATGGTCTAGGTGTAGTTATCAGTAATTGTCATCTACTTTACCTTATCCTGTAAGGAGGCAGTCTTTGGCAGCTATGGTCACTCCTGACAATGCCAGCAGTGAGCTGAAGCTGACCTGAATGCCTTCTAGGCGGAAGCAGCACCCTGGTCTCTTCAGCTCAAACAGGGGACAGGCTTATGCTGGCTTTCTCACTGTGTGCAGGATACCCACAAAACATGGTGTGAGGGCTGCCATCATTCTGGGTGGAACCTACAGGAGAATTTGTGGGTAAAACTGGGCGATGTCTAGGACTTGATTTGAAATATTTCAACCCCCCCCCCAATTTTGAAGGTTATAAGAAACAGTTGACAAAATTGCTAAAGCCACATGGGGTCCATTACAGTTCAGCTTTTGGACATGTTCAGAATTTCCTTGAGAAACAGTTGCCTTTTCCTCCTTTTAAAGTCACCGTCCTTGGTTCTTCCCCTCTGATCCCCAGGCTGATGTGATGGCAGACAGGGTGCCCTGCTGCCCTGTCTGTACTGGAGTTGTGAAACCTGACATTGTGTTCTTTGGGGAGCCGCTGCCTGCAAGGTTCTTACTACATGTGGCTGATTTTGCCCTGGCAGACCTGCTACTCATTCTTGGGACCTCCCTGGAGGTTTGTTGAAAGGCATTCGAGGATGGGTGGGAAGGTGGAGAGCATGGAGGGGTAGGGCCTGGTTGATGGTGCCACCTTTTCAGGTGAGTAGTCAATGGTAGTGACATCCAAGGGTTTGGGAGCAATGGCTGTGTAGGAGGCATAAAGGTATGGTAAAAGGTTAGCTTTGAGGCAGGACTGAAGGGACTGCTCCAGCCACAGAGCTGTACTTGGGATGAAGAGCAGATGGCAGTCCTGTAGTGACCTTTGGTGGGAGAAGGTTGGCTGCCGCCTCATCAGTTTTGCAGGATTAGGGTGCAGTCAGAGGACCAGTGGAGTTGGGGTCTGCATGTGGGTATGCGTGTCCTGGGCAATGACCATTGGAGGTGTACAAGGAGTTGATCTGCATCTGAATTTGAATGCCAGGAAATTTCCAAAAGGTCTAAAGAGCTAAAACCATGGGCTGGGGCCCAACTGTATGCAGCCACAGGGGAGAAAGGCCATAAAGCTCTCTGTTCAGGAGGCCAATGGGCAGAGTGCACTCAGCCTGTTCCTATTATTGTGTGATGTGAGCCAGGCCAGTCTTAGTGCTTTAGATCACTAAAGTGAGATTTAAAACTGAGACACCATTAGGTGTGGTGTGCAAAAGGGGAAATATACGAGTGAATATTGTGGTGTGGGTTGGGAAGGGGTCACATTGTAAATGTGGCCTTGTTAGTAGGTCTCAATAACAAAAGGTAAGGGCTTCCACTTAAGGTTTGGCAGGGTACTCCATAGTGGCCAGCAATGAGGCCATGGTCATTGGGATGACTATTGTATCACCCATTTTTCTCTGTGTTATATATATTTTTAAAATAATTTATTTATCATGTATTCAACATTCTGCTTTCATGTATATCTGCACACCAGAAGAGTGCACCAGATCTCTTAATGGATGGTTGTGAGCCACCATGTGGTTGCTGGGAATTGAACTCAGGACCTCTGGAAGAGCAGTCAGTGCTCTTAACTTCTGAGCCATCTCTCCAGCCCCCTTTGTGTTATATATAGCAACATAATATGTATAAAGTGTTACACTATAAATGTTTCTCATAGTAGTTTTATGTAGATATCAGTGTGGTAGTGCTGATGATCACTCTTTCCTGTGTCTCAGTTATGTCTTAACCATCTTTCCCTATCCTTACCTATAAGCACTGATGTCTTTTTAGAACCATTTAAAAAATTGCTTATGTGTATGAGTATGCCAGAGGACAATTTGTGGGAGTCATTTCTCTCCTTCTACCATGTGGGTCCTGGGGATCAAACTCAAGGCTGTCAGGTTTGGTGGCAAATTCCTTACCCATTGAGCTATCATGGCCTTCCCTTGTCTTTAGAACTATTATTGAGGGTTTTTGAGATGTTTTGCTTATCTAAAAACATTTTATTTTATGTGTATGAGCTTTGCCTGTATAAATGTATACATACCATGTGTGCCTGGTACCCATGGAAAGGTTACCCAGAGTGGACAGAGCAGGTGGAAGGAAGATGCTTGAAAGCAGAACACACAGACTGGGAGGAAAGACAGAGTGTGGGGAGAAGCGCGGGTTTGTGTTGGTACACTGAGCACAAGGGAGGTATCCTGTAGATGGGAAAGAGGTCTTCCAGACCAGGTGGCAGACGCCTTCAGAAACAAAGTGGTAAGCTCTTGTGTCACAGTGTCTGCCTTGTCTCCTGCCCCAAGGTACCAGTGGCTGTGGTGCTCAATGTCTTGATAGTACATGGACACCCTGCCCTTCACACTGGATTGTCTTTCAGGTGGAGCCTTTTGCCAGCTTGTCTGAAGCAGTACAGAAGTCAGTGCCCCGACTGCTCATCAACAGAGACTTGGTGGGGTCCTTTGCTTACAGTCCTCGCAGTACAGATGTGGTCCAGCTAGGCGATGTAGTTCAGAGTGTGGAAAGGCTGGTGGACCTCCTGGGCTGGACACAAGAGCTGCAGGATCTCATCCAGCGGGAGACTGGAAAGGTACAAATGCTAAGCTCCAGGCCTAGTCCAAACATGCTCATTTTCTTGTGGGCACGGACCTCAATGCATTGCTGGCATTTAGGGGGATGGTGCTCCTACAGACTTGCTTTTTGTTTCCTACTCCACAACTCATTGCTGGGATGTTTCTGTGACCTAGGGGAGGGGGAGGGCTGAGGTGACATGCTCTGCACCCTGCATGGGACTGAGCTAACCAGGGATGATTTATTAATCAGTGTCATAGTTGGGTGGTGGTGGCACATGCCTTTAATCCCAGCACTTGGGAGGCAGAGGCAGGTGGATCTTTGTGAGTTTGAGGCCAGCCTGGTCTATAGAGTGAGTTCCAGGACAACCAGGACTGTTTCACAGAGAAACCCTGTTTTGAAGAACCAAAACCAAAACCAAAACCAAAAAAAAAAAAAAAAAAAAAAAAAAAAAAGCACAAACAACACCACACCAAAAAAAAAAAAAAAAAAAAAAAAGGAATATACATTACAGCCATTGGGAATAGGAAGCCAGAGAACACTATGCTTTTGAGACTTTACAGTACCTGTGACTCACAAAGAAGAATTTCCTATGAGAATCATGTTGTGTTTATTTTCTATAGTGAAGTGTGAGCATTCACCTCCCAATTCTATTATAGACAGGTGCAGCATTGCCCAGAGGATTCCACCAGAATATATCACAATTGATGTTCTGTTGTTCTCAAGATAGAATCCTAAGAAAATTCTAGCCCCTCATCTGTCTTGTGGTTCTGGGCCATGGCCAGCAGTCTCAACTTTATTGGCAAAGGCTCCTGGCCGCTTATATTCAGCCTGAGCTCTTAATGAAATGGACCAAAGAGAAGCTTGGTCCATTTAAAGATGAGCTTTGGCATTTACTGCTTCCACAGATGAGATGTAACCCCCAGTATTATTTTTATCTTTTTGTTCCAAAATCTGACTCTTAGGGCTGAGTGTGTGCTGGTGCCATTTCTTGGAAAACAGTCTTTATTTAGCCACCTGTGTTGTGCTAGACCTTCTGGGATCCCTTTTCATGTTCACTTTAAAGAGAAAAACTTGTTCCATACAATATTTTGCTTGACTTCAATGACTGGTCCAGGTCTGGGATGTAGCCTGACTGGCTGTGAAGCTAACTGACCACCTGTCTGTTCCAGCTGGATGGACAGGACAGATAAGACTATGGCCTCATCACCTGCGGGAAATCACACAGGAGATCCTCTTTCCAGGGAGACCTCATGCCCGAACACAGCTCGGACAGGTTTATAAGTCTGGGCCAAACCACTGTGTGTGACCTGGCTAGTGGTCTTCTGAGACTGCCTTTGGAAGTTTACCCTTAGAGCCATGCCATCACAGTGCAAAGGAGCTCCTTGTGTGCTGTCCCATCCCTGCTGAAGCCTGTAGTGCAGAATGCTTCTTTCTGGCAGTGGTCCTTACGATTATCAGGAGCCAGCATGTCCATCCATCACCAGACCCAGGTGATACATGAGGGTAATCTAGCATGTTGGTCTCTACAGAGGCATCTTTACTAGAGAGAAATAAAAACTTCATTTCTTGCATGAAATAAATTTTAGTATAAAAACTTGGCATCTTTTCGTTTGTCTCTTCAGGACGATAAGTGTTAACATATTTCAGGTTATGTGGGTGTCCTCCTCTTGGATGACAAGACTAAGCCCATCTGTCCCTTGACTCACCCTGGTATTAACTCAGACTCCTTTTCTACAGAATCCCTCACCACTACTCTACCCAGGCTTCTCCAGGAATGGTGCTAAAATCAGTGGCAGGCATTACTCTGAGAGATCCGCAGGTCTTTTGCTTTTCCTGTCCTATGTACAGTTATGATTAAGCACAGGCTGCTTTCTCCTGGGCTCCTACCCGGGTGCATACAGTTTAGGCTGTCTCCCAGGTGGAAGAGACTCCTGTTCCTGTACCCATTCTGACTGGGGCTGGCAGGCAGATCCCAGGGAACGAATGGGGTCTCCTGTTTTTGTCCTCTAATGACAGCAGATGTGCAGTGATCTAGGACATCTTCAATTCTAAAAAGAATGAAATTAGTTTCTATTTAGTATCTTTTCACCTGACTACTTCACAGATATACAGTCTTGTCCCAAACTCTTTATTCTGTGCCTCAGAAATCTTAGATTGTACCTTGTCTTACACTTTTGCCTTCATACAATTACTAAACCAGTGGTTGTTCTGTTGACAGCCAGTGAGGATAATGCAGCAGCGGTTGAACCAGGACCAAGAATTCAGAAAAGGCTACTGGCCGTGTGCTCAGTGGGGCCACAAATAGGAATTGTGATGTTCTGTGTGTGTGTATGTTTTGTGACATACTTAAACAGTTCCAATAGATTCTTCCATGTGTGAAAGCTCCTTTTCTACAGAATCCCTCACTCACCACTACTCTACCCAGGCTTCTCCAGGAATGGTGCTAAAATCAGTGGCAGGCATTACTCTGAGAGATCCGCAGGTCTTTTGCTTTTCCTGTCCTATGTACAGTTATGATTAAGCACAGGCTGCTTTCTCCTGGGCTCCTACCCGGGTGCATACAGTTTAGGCTGTCTCCCAGGTGGAAGAGACTCCTGTTCCT